ACTAGTAAATTAGGCTTAAGTGGAGCCATGTTGAAAGCCACTTTCAAACTTGACAAACATCGTCAAAAATTTAAAGCCAAAGCAGGAGTGGATAAAACTGTCGCATTGTGGAATATTTTAATCTATATTCACGACTGATAATAACATTATTATCTTACATAATCAAAAAAAAAAAAATAGACAATATTGATGCAAGCGATAACGGAGAAAACGACAAAGACTAGTAGTTACTTCCTAATTGGTAAGTTTCATTAATTTAATACATATAAAGAAAAGTGCACTTAATTTTAACACTGCGCAATTTCTCGCAATCTACGTTGCCTACTCGGGAGCACGTTCTGCGTCGGCTAATTCACCTTCGTAAAAACAAAAAAAAAAAAATACAAAAAAACATAAAAAAAAAAATACAAAGACATTTTTTGAGGCATTATTTGTGGACGCATCAAATTACACAAATTTTTTGGAAATTGATAAAGAACCAAAATTATTTACGCGCTGAAGCAATAGTGAAAAAAATTATTGCAACAAAGTTAAATGAAAAAGTAATCACTTCCGAAACCGAGAAACAGATGGTTTTTCAACTCGTAGAGGCGCATCAGAAAGTGTTTCCCTACCTAACATCCTAAAACGACATTGTTAAAAATTTAAAGTATGTATGTCAGACATGGCTTTACATAAATCTAATATATTAGTTCAAATATAATTTTATTTAAAAGCTGTCAACTTTTTTATGACTACATTAAATTAGCTACAATTTTAAGTATTTTAGTTTTGGAAAAAATACTGCTATCTGGAAAATCCTAACGAATAAATTTGAAAATTCGTGAAAAATAGTACCAAATTGTCACTTTAGGCCGTGTGTGTAACTTTTTGGTTAGTTGTATTAAAAAACTGAGTACGCCATTCGCTTTAGCGGCTTATTCTTCATGAGGCTGGATATTTTTTTCTTTCTTGTGTAAAATGAATTTGTTTTCATATAAGGATCCAAAGTTATAGCAAAACAGTCTTATGTATCGCAGTTTTCGGAGTAGCTCATTCAGTTTTTGCAATAATGAATTTCTTTTCCATTTTGTTAGGTCTTTAGCATCCTATTTTCATATGCTGCCGGAGGGAGGATCTGAAATACTTTAGGCAAAATAAGTCATCTAATGTACATACATCTACGCATAACATGTAAAAAAAAAAACAATCATCGACAATTTCCGTTTTCAAACAAGTAATTTTGATTTTCTCGACAACTATTCATAAGCGCACATAAAGTTTGTCGCTGAGAGCGCCATACAATTTTTAAACGCAAAAAAAAAACTCGCCTAATATTTCTCATAAAAACGAATAAAATTAAAGGGTAAGGCATTTTTATTCTTTTTCTTCTAATGATCAATCAATATTTAAAATAGGTTCAGAAATGTTGAAATTATCAACAAAAAGCAAATGTAACCTTCAAAAAAACGGGTTTTTTGACCATTGGTCAAGATTTTTCGGGTACATTTGAAATTTCAACTATGTAGTCCCACAACATGTGCTATATGGAATTTCAAGTTTTTTGACTTTCTTCAATTTTGTTACGTAGTGTAATTTGCCGTGTGGCTCGTTTTGTGAATTTGTACTCTGTTTGATTCTGTCGCTGGATTTTTTTTGTTCAAACAGCCTTATGTTTAAATCAATTTTAGGCACTTGGAGAAGCAGTTTAAAAATTGGTTAGAAATAATGAATACCATTTATATTTTTGTTGGATAATTTGCCACATCACTTGTTTTGTGAATTAAAACTGTTTGATTTTGTCGTTAATTTTTTGGTTAAAAAACCATACATTTAAAACAGTTTTAGGCACTTGGAGAAGCAGATGAAAAAATTGTAGAAAAATATTAGTGCCGGGTATCTGGTAGATATCCGAAATGCGGCTTATACGGCCGTTTTTCAGTTATCCGTCTATCCTGCCATATTACCGTATTTCGATTATAAAAGATTCAATTCAAAAATCTCGTTCAAAATTTTATTTTTTTTGTGTTTCTAAATTCATATTTAATAGTATCTAAATAGTAATTAAAGTTGACAATTTTTTATTTTTCATTATGAAATGAAGCATTTCAGCATTATCGGGACACAACCTATTTCTATTTGCAACATAACGGAACGGATAGTAAACGGAACAGATGTGTGTTTTGCGCTCGCGCTAGATATTTTCATTTTAAATAGTTAAAAGAATTGTATTTTATACATTTTATGTCCAACAGTACCATTTAAGTGCAAGCTGAATCAACTGAAGTGAGTGTCGCATAAATAAACATACAAGCAAAACAAATAAGCGAACAAAAAGTTGCATAAATAAAATAGTTTGTTTTGCTGTTGTTGTTTTTGCTGCGGCGATAGCTGAGTTAACAAAAGTAAGTCAAGCTGCAATTGTTGGTATTGGGAAGGCACAGGGAACAATCTGCAGCAGATCTGCTTTGGACACCTCCGCGAAAGAGCATTGGAGCCGCTAAATCCAAGACAATTCGGATTAATCTCCATCTCTTTTGGTTTTGCTTTGCGTACCCGAGGGCGCTCCTCTGTTCAGATTCTCTCATTTGTTACTCTGTCCTTTGCCATCATATTCGCAATTGATGCCCTTTGCTCATCATTCCATATAAACAAACGTCAACTACTTCTTGGAATCGAAACAGCTGATCAGCTGGAAACAGAGTGCTGCCAAGTTAGTTTTACGCTTAGGTTATAGTAGCAATTGCTCATATCATAAAATTATTGAAATTGCCATAAACTTGTGTATTGTGGTTAGTATATATTATTGCCATACGTTAACTTAGGGTATATTGCCACAGTAAAAAGTGGCAAAATGCCAACAGTAGAATGTAAAGAATGTACTGCCAAATTGTTTCAATTAGATGAAATGATAACATGCTCTGGTGGGTGTGGCTCTAACTTCTGTCTAAAATGTAGCAATATTAAAAGGAATGAAATTAAAATAATCACGGAAAATATTAATTTGAAATGGTTTTGTAATCAGTGTACTTTATCTGATACGAATACGAAATTTATCGAAATCAAACATTTAATAAGTAAATGTGAGCAATCTAAATTGAAGGCGGCTGATGTAAAACAAGTTTTGGAGGAACTAATTAACAACAAATGTACGCAAATAAAAACGAGTATTGTTTCAGACTTTAATACATTTCTGGAACATAACATTGAAATCATTAAGGAAATTTCTAGTGAACTGCAAAAATGTAATGACTTGGTAAAAAACATTCAGCCAGTAATTAGTAAAGAAAATGCCCCAATATCATATGCCCAAGCTGTCAAAACAAATGAAAATAAAATTGTTATAAAGCCCTTAAACAAAAACAAAAACGTTAAGGAAACAAAAGAGGCGCTGAAAATGGTAATCGAACCCACCCACGGTCTTGTTAAGACTGTGAAAGAAATTAATAGAGGGGGAATAGTTTCAGAATGTAAAAATAAAGATACTTGCGAAAAGGTGCATCAAAAAATAAGAGATAGTATTGGAACGGAGTTCCAGGCCCAGAAAGCTAAAGGAAAAGAGGAAATAAAAAAGACACTGAAAATAGTTGGGTTAACCGAAAATAATAATCGCATAATAGAATGTCTAACTAAGCAAAATGATGAGTTCTTGGGAAAGGAGTTGAAAGTACTGAAAGTATACGAAAATAGAACGCGAAGAGAAGAAAGCTTCAACATTCTAGTTGAAACAGATGCTTTAACTTATGGAAGTGTCTTGAAACGTAAAAAAGTAAATATCGAATGGGACACTTGCATGGTATTTGAGCATCTAAATATTATGAGATGCTTTAAATGTTTGGGTTATAAGCACAAGTCAAGTGATTGTACAAATAAAAAGGCATGTAGTAGATGTGCTGGAAATCACGATGTTAAGGATTGCGGCTCTGATATAATAAGGTGTTTAAATTGTTGTGAACTTGTTTAGAAAAAAGTAATAGATGTTAATGTAAATCACTCAGCATTCAGTTTGGATTGCCCTGCATACCAAAAATACGTTCAAGCCAAAAGCAAAGCTAAAGTTTAGCAACGAAGTATTCATGAATTGAATATCATTTATTTAAACATAAACAGTATTACAGCTAATAAGTGTGAACTTGAGAAACTAATAGAAATTTGTAAGCCTCATTTGGTGCCATGTTCAGAAACCTGTTTGACCGAAGACATTACAAACCACGAAATACAGGTAGAAACCTACACCCTAATTAGATGCAACTCGAATAGTAGACACACAGGCGGTGTTTTAATTTACGTCCATCACTCAATTAAATATGAAACTCTCGTTAATTACTCGTGGGATAAAAATATTTGGTGTCTTTTAAAAATTGGAAATGTTACCCCGAAATACCAAATAGGGGTAATATATCACTCGCCAAATTCTAGCGATGCTGACTTTATCAGCTACCTTAGTGAAATTTTAAACAATACTTGCCTAGATGATGATACTGTATTTATTGGAGACTTCAATATAAATCTATATAAAGCTACAACGTACAGTAAAAAATTGGTAGAGTTCAAGGTACATTGAACAGGTAGTATCAGTAGAGCAGCTGATTTGATTTATTTTCAAATTATTTGGTCTCGAAAATGTCAAATATTTTTAATTTTTTCTCACAAAAATTCTGAATTGTTAAAATCCATTTGCATGTGAAACCTTTTTCCATGCAAAACAAGCGATTGAATAGCTGCTTTTGGAACGTTCGCCCACCTCGGCAGCACAACCGCTGATTACTGGGCCTTGCAAAGGATGGATCAATGCTTCGAGAAGCAAACAAATTTACTAGAAAAGAAAGTGGCATCAATTTTTATTTTTTCCAATTTCAATTTTTTATTTTTTATAATTTTTTGTATTTCACATGGCACGCTTTGATTTAGAAGAAAAAATTCAGAACAGTTTTTGACAATTTCGATACCAGAAGCAACAACAAAATACACGCAAATGTTGTTTTTGCTCTACTGATACTACCTGTTTAATGTGCCTTGGTAGAGTTATTTCAGTCCTTCTCAATGGTTCAGAAAATTAATTTTTATACTAGGAAATCGGGAGAGGTCGAAACCATGATTGATTTATTATTTACCAATAGCAAAAACACTTCGTGTCAAAGAATGGATATGCATCGGATCTCCGATCATGAGACAATTTATGTCAAGATCGAGTTGGAGAAAATATATAAAATGAGAGCAAACAAATTTATTATATCTTGGGAAAATTACACAAGTGATAATCTTCTTCACCAACTGAGGCAATACAATTACAGGGATTTTTTCGAAATTAAGCATCGATGATAAATCGAAATTTTTAACTAATATCTTGTCGCATTCAATGGGCATTCTAACATACACTAAAGAAATAAGGCTTAAGCTCATGAACAAGTTGTATGATGCTGAATTAGCAAACCTTAATAAACAAAAGTATAATCTTTACAGGATAGCATTAGAAACAGGGGCATGGAGTGACTACAATACAATCAAACGTAGATACAAGAGGATGGTAAAGGTTAAAAAGGTTAAATACTTGGAGCATAAAATAACAGTTAATATTGGAGATAGCAAATCAATGTGGAAGCATCTAAAAAATTGCATAAGTATGTCAAAGGAAATAAACGCCATTAATAAAGTGTTAATTCACAACAACTTGTACACAACGGAAAATGAGATTGCACAATCACTAAATAACTACTTTATTGACAGCATTATCGAAATTACCTCAAATATAGAACCTGGTAAAAAAGAATCCTTTACGACTCCAAATTGCACACATAACTTTAAATTTATAGAAATCGAAACCGATGAAGTGCTTGAAATTGTCAGTGGTTTTAAAAATAAAATTGGAGGAAAAAAACTATTATCTGAGGGAGTCATAAAAGACTCTATAACATATACAGGGTACTTTTACACGCAGTTAATTAATGAAAGCCTAAAATATGGTGTTGTTCCTGATCACTGGAAAACTTCTATTGTTGAGCCAATTGAGAAAGTCAAGAACACAATCAGAGCCGACGAGATGAGACCAATTAATACGTTGCGTAGTGATGAAAAAATTCTTGAAAGGTAGTTAAAAAACAACTAATAGAATATTTAGAAACTAATAAAATATTAATCCCACAACAGTCTGGTTTTAGGAAAAGGCACTCGTGTGAAACTGCACTAAACTTAGTATTAGCTCGCTGGAGAGAAGAATTGAGCAGAAATAAATACATAGTTGCCGTCTTCTTAGACTTAAAGCGCGCATTTGAGACCATCGATCAAGAGTTACTTCTAAATAAATTGAGTGATATAGGGATACGGGGCGTTGAGCTAAAATGGTTTCAAAGTCTTATTACAAATGGTTACCAGAGAACACAGATTGGATCGTCGGTATCTGACAAAAGAAGTATAGTGGTTGGTCTACCTCAAGACTCAGTGCTAGCACCTATATTATTTAATATATACAGAAATGATATTGCCAACGGTATTAAATATTGTGATATTAATCTTTTCGCTGATAACACGTTAATCATGTTAAGTGGTGACCATATTACTGATATTGTTTCAAAACTACAAGATGACTTAAATAAAATATATAATTGGCTATGTTTAAACAAACTTAAAATAAATTTAAGTAAAACCAAATACATGGTCATATCCAGAAGAAATATTGATATGCATGAACTTCGTAGTTTAAACATAAACCAACAAAAAATAGAAAGGGTGCGGAGCTTTACGTACTTGGGTATAAAAATTGATGAGAAGCTACAGTTCAATGATCATATTGACTATACCGTAAGCAAAATAGCAAAAAAAATGTACTTTATGCGGCGTACTTGCAAATTACTGAAAAGGAAATATAAAATAATGGTATATGGATCAATAAAAAAAACCTCTCCTCAATTATTGTCCAACAATTTTTTTCATAATGAATGATAGCCAAATTTATAAATTGCAGAAACAACAGAACCAAGCAATGAGATTCATTCTTCGAAAACGATATGACACGCCCATTAGAGACATGTTATCAGCCCTTGGTTGGCTAAGTGTGAAACAACAGCACTTTTATTATGCGATGAAATTTGTTAAAAACATTATTGAAGATAATTTACCAGAATACCTAAAGATTAACTTAAAGTATGGCAGCAATGCACACAATAAAGATACACGTAAGAAAAATGACTTCAATTTACCCATGTTAAAAAGCGAATCTGATAAATGTAATCTTTATTACAAGGGTCTTAAAAGTTATAATGAATTACCAAATACTGTCAAGCAATTTAATAACATCAATGAGTTTAAAAGAAAGTTGTTTGAATTTTGTAAATCTATCCCAATATAATGTAATGTATTACTTTATATCTGTTTTCCGTTTACTATTGTTCCGTAATTTCAACTTGTAATTGCCATGTATGAATGCCCTTCCAAATGATTTTATTAGGCTTAATCAATGTAATATTAAATAACTAGGTTAAGTCTACATATATTGTAATGAATTAGGCTCAAGAGAGCTGTAATAAATAAATAATAATAATAATAATAAATGCTACTCAATGCACTAAACACTCTTTCTGAGTTCACTGAGGAAGGTAGTGCGCAGAGATACTTAATTTCCAGAGTAAACAAATTTATAAATTCTTTGAGACTATGCTTCTACCAAATTAAAGGAACTTCTTGTCCGGGTATAAGGGGTAGCTGTAAATATTTCTCCATTTCTAAATCGCTGCCTTTTTTCTTGTACGGTCGCTGTCTTGTCTACCCATCGCACATAGCGGCATTTGGCCGATTTAGGCGGCCAAAATTATTTTTATGGAAATTTTATTTCAAAATGTTTAGAAAAGACGTGTAACGATGTCTAAAATTGGAAATGTTTAAAATCAAGTAAATATAGGTGGAGGACGTACAATTATTCCTCCAAAGCAACGAAAATAAAGTTGGTTAAAGTTTGACACCGATAGACTCTTATGTTGCCGTGGTCCGATTGTAGAAACACGCATACCTACATACGTGTTCGTCTCGGCGATCTTTATATATAGGTTAGTACATGCAAAGAGTTGCCACCGGGTAAAAACTAAAATATAGTTAAGTTAACTGTGAATTACTACAATATGGGTATCAATTGAAATGGTTTTGAAAGGCTTCATTTCTAAACAACATGTAGCAGGGTTACCGCCTGTTTAAAAATGAAATTCAACTTTAACTAAGGGAATAACAGACAAATTATTATTTTTTTTATAATGTTGCTCAAAAATTTGTTTTATTGTTAAAATGCGTATGGACTTCCTTGAGATATAAGTTACAGAGAAAATTATGGAAATAACCAATTTTATCTTGTAATGCAATGGATAATAAATGTGTAATTGAATTCTAAAACAAAATTTGTGTAAAAAACTATTTTAGGATGATGATGAGTGCCAAGATTCTTCATCGGACCCTTCTTCCTCTTCTGAATACTCTCCAGACTTCGTGTCATCCTTAGTTGGTTCAGCTGGAGCAACATATCGTCGTGTTCATTGCAAAATTTAATATGTGCGTTTGAGCAACTTTTCAGGAGAGCATTAAATCTGTTTTTTTTCGAAGGATGTATCTTTCTGAAACAGTAAAATAATACCAAAATATGGCCAACAGTATTTCTTATAATTTGACATAAAAAAATTGTTATAAATTCCGTATATGAACTCGTAATTGTTTTTTTTGTTGGTTTTCGTGCACATATCAAATTTTGTATTCGAGCCCCAATAATGAAGCACATGTCAGGTTATGTTTGTGATTTTATAATGCTAAATTTCTGGCTGTGTGCTTAAATTAGAGAGTTTATTTTTCTTTTTCTTATTTATTTTAGCATGAAAGAAAACTCATGAAAATATATAAATAATTTATAATATATGTATATTTATATTATAAGTATGTAAAAATTAAATCAATTTCGTGTTAACGCGTGGGCTGACCAAACGGCTAAACCGATCGTTGCTGTGTAAAAGTACATACTTGGACCTTTTTCGTTTTATATTAATTACATTAGCGATATAAAAATCAGGGACCGCAAATAAAAGTAAGTTTTATTTTATTAATGGGTTCAATTAGTTATTTTCCATTTTTTTTGCTTCATTTTTTTCGCCAAAATATGATTTCGATTTTATGAAAATTTTAAAATTTCGACATTTCTGTTTCGACATTTTTATTTTCGACTTTTCGTACGGATCCCTATGAAACTGGTCCAAGGATTGGAAAATTTAAACAAATGCTTCCGTTTCCAGAAAATATTACTTTTTTATTTTAAAAATAATTAAAGAACAAATCAAAAAAGTTAATTCATATTTCTTAAAGCGTAAGTATTATAAATACCATTATGTAGTAAAATTTTTTTCACTTAAAAAATAATAACTATAGCCATTTCAATTGCTTGATTATCGAATAGTTTGATACTCAATAAAAATAGATCACATTTCCTAAAACGTAAGTATTTTTAATACCTTCGTTTGGTTATTTTTTTTGACCTCAAATGTAATATACCCATTTCAATTACTCAGTTATCAAATAGTTTTATAAGTAAGTGTAAAGGACGTAAGGCACAAAATCAGGCTTCTTTATTTAAGATTATTCATTTAATCTATCATTAGGACATTGTTCAAAACCATCAATTGCTTGATTATCGAATAGTTTGATACTCAACAAAAATAAATCAAATACCTTCATGTTGGTAAATTTTTTTTCGCTTAAAAAATAAAATATATATATTTCAGTCTCTTGATTATCGAATAGTCATATTTCTTAAATTTTTTTCTCTTTAAAAGTAATAACTATAGCCATTTCAATTACTTGACTATCGAATAGTTTGATACTCAAAAAAAATAAATCATATTTCTTAAAGCGTACCTAAGTATTTTAAATACCTTCATTGCTCAGGACATTGCTCAAAACAATTAACATTCAAACGAATAATTTGACAAATAACACTTGGGCAATTCACGTCAGCCGACTTATCAATTTATGTGTTTAAAAAATTATTTTTCTCCATACAAATATACGGAGAAAAATAATTTTTCAGCAAATAAATTGATAAGTCGACAGACGTGAATTGCCCAACTGTGTTACAAAAAAAGACCTAGCTGTATTCGACTAGGCCTACAATAAAAATAGGGTCCCGGCCCAGGTTTTTTTTTCGTGTCACACAGTGTAACTATTAACTTGGAATAACCCCCAAATTCTGTGCTCTTGACAAATTGTCAACCTTGATAAATAATCAAGAAAAAAATATTTGTATCATGTGTTCTGATTTCTGAGTCAAAAATAAAGTTATTTGTAAGTCAAAAATAAAAGTGTTTTTATTATTTTTGCCGCTAAATTCAAAAAACTTGATACAAATATTTTTTTCGTGATTATTTATCAAGGTTGACAATTTGTCAAGAGCACAGAATTTGGGGGTAAAACGCAACAAAATAAAGAACAAAAATAAAACCTTCAAAATTAACAATTCTACTTCCAAAATTATTAAAAAATACAACACTTCTAAAGAGACTTAATCATATCGAAGGCTGTCATAAAAGCAATGGTAGTCCCTGTGCATGTATTTTTTTAAAGCCTGCAGGCTATCAAATTTATTTTTTTCTATGCTTTTGGGATGCTCGTAAAGGTTCACCAGGTTACCACTAGGAATACGAACTCTTTGTGGTAACAATTGCCACTCGTGAGGCTGGCGCAACTTGTAAAAAATTTGGCCATCTTTGTACAACAATCCTCTTATATCAGTGACAACAGGGTCTCCAGCCTTTTTCCCCGGTCTCAATGAATCAAGCTGACACATCCTTTCAAAATTTAAAAAAAATGTGTAGTCTACGTGGTGAATTATGTAAGGTTGGCTGGGGCTGGGGGTGCCATTTTGGCTATGTAATCGTTCGGAGAATAAATAGGCGGTTTAAACAGACGTTCCAATGTAGAATGAATGCTATCCACCTCCATCATTGTATGTCCCTTTTCCAGAATAATTTGTTCTATTTGGATTGTATGGTTCTCTTTTGTGAGGCTTAGTAATGCTGACGATAGCACTTTATTTCTATTTTGATACCCACATCCATCTGATATGAGTATTATTTTCTTATAGCTTAAATTAATTTTTGTATTCAAGAAGTCCATTAAACAGGTTATAAACTCGTTGGCACTTACTCCACCATCACCTTCATGCCACACATATAAATGCACTTCTTTATCATTGTTTACATGCAGGGTATAATTATGAACTTGAAGTTTCTGTTTGTAGTATTGAGCAGAAACCTGCAGTTTGGGTGATAGTAAAATACTTTGAACATCCATAGTCACTACTAGAACATCAGAGGAACACATTGATTTGGCGTTTTCTTTAGCTAAGTAAGCTTCTTGTTTCATTTCAGTGTGATGTTCATATTCTTCCAGTGTACAATTGCCTTCCTTGAAAGTAGTGCAAGTGTCGCATTGATCCTTTCTGGGTTTAAATATAGATATTTTTTCATATTTTAATACAGAATAGAAGAGTATTCGTTGTGCTGCTACAATATTCTTACTAGAGCACCAAGCTTTATATTCTGTAAACATGTGAGCTTTGCTTCTGAAAGAATCCTATACATACTCTCTATTTGAGCTCGACCTGCAATAATGGCTGGGCACCTTTGGTAATAACCGCAACCAATCCTTTACAGTGTCTGATTTATCTGCTACTATTACTCGAGACTTTCTTTTCTTTTTATAAGGGTTTGGTGTTTCATTCACAGAATTGATCCACTGCCACAAAGTGACATTATTTATGTCAATTGTCCTCAAAAAAAAGTTTTTACATACTTTAACAAGTTGATTATTGTCATTAGGTAAAAAGTAGTCAAATCCCATATTTTTAGCAAATTTTCGAGATGTAGTCTTACGCCTTCTAATAATCGGCCGAACGCGAACAAGATTTTTTAAATACGCCTTTTTAGCGACCCAAGAATCTAAGCTCCAGAAATATTCAAAAATAGTATCCCTCCGTTCTTCGTCTATCGTTGCACAAAGTAAATTCCTTGGTTTAGATTTAGGTTTAGCATTAGGTTTAGCACACAGTCTGGCTTTCTTAGACTTTTTCGACTTTACGACAAAACTAATTTGAGGTTCATCATTTTCATTTTTCTCTATCTTTTTGCCGATATATAGTTTCCCCTTTACTCTCCGATCTTTATTAAATACTCTATCCTTTTTTTTATCGAAAGTATCCATATCAAAGTCCTCCTCAGATAAACTATCACTCTCATTCAACTCTTCCAAAATACCTGTTTGATCATCCAAAAAATAAGAACACGAACTACGCCTTTTTGTATCCACAGAAAGTACTTTAGGGACCAATAATCCAGCAGTTTCGTCTAAAATGTGATTATTTGATATTGGAGGTAAGTCGGTAGATAAAATATCCGTTACCATAACCCTAGGATTTGGCT